CGCTTCGCCGACTGCGCTGCTTCCTCCTCCAGCCGGGTCGCGACAAGCCCCTGCCTCCAAGTCTCCTCCGCGTGCTGCGCCCCTTCCCCGCGATCTGGCGCCGAGCGTCCGCCGGAGCACCGCCGGCGCGCTCTCCCCTCCCCGCACCCGTCTGGGACCCGCTGTCGTCTCTCCTCCGGGGCGCGGCGCCTCCCGAGCCCTGCCCTTCGGTCCCGAGTGGTGGCGGCGTGGACGGGAGGGGGAAGGGAGGGAGGGCCGCCTCTCGGCTTGGTTTCCGTCCCGATTCCACCGTCGACGAGGTGTCCCGGCCGGGGCGCGGCACCGGCCCCTCTGCGCGCCCCTCCTGCTCTCTGCCCTCCCGCCGGCGGCAGAAGGGCGCTGGTCCCGCTGGAGCGTCGGGTTGGCTCTGGCAGCCAGCTGGCACCGCGCGGTGCCCTGACCGGGGGCGGGATATTCACGCCGGCCCGAGCCACCCGTTATATGGCGGAGAGGGGCCCGCGGGGACGCGGCGGCCGCCCAATCAGCGCCGGCTCTTTAATTAATGGCATTTAAAAAAAAGAAATATATCCAGCGGGAAGAAGGCGAAGGGTCTCTGGCACAGGATGGTCTTTTCGCGGCTCGGAACCGAAGGCGGCTTCCTGCCTTGGAGAGACCCAATCCCTCTGAGCCCTTGCTGGGGAAAAGCTCCGAAGGGGAACTGTGGCTCAGTGGCAGAGCTTCTGCTCGGCAGGCAGAAGGTCCCAGGTTCGATTCTCGGCATCCTCCTGTTAAAAGGATCAGCGAAGAGAGGGGTGTGAAAGACCTCTGCGTGATAGGTCAATACTGATCTTGATGGACCGATGGGCTAATTCAATATAAGAGAAGAGAGGAAAAGATTGGATTTATACCCCACCCTTCACTTGGAGTCTCAGAGCAGCTGACAAACTCCTTTCCCTTCCCCTCCCCACAACAGACACCCTGTGAGGTGGGTGGGGCTGAGAGAACTCTGACAGAAACTGCTCTTTTTCAAGGACAGCTGTGCCAGAGCTTGTGACTGACCCAAGGTCACATCAGCAGGTGCAGGTGGAGGAGTGGGGAATCAAACCCGGTTCTCCCAGATTAAAGTCCGCGCACTTAACCACTACACCGGACTGGCTCTAAGGCAGCTTCCTATATTGTTAAACATCGTAAGAACATAAGAACATAAGAGATGCCAATGTTGGATCAGGCCACAGGCCCATCCAGTCCAACACTTTGTATCACACAGTGGCCAGAAATACCAGTGCCATCAGGAGGTCCACCAGTGGGGCCAGGACATTAGAAGCCCTCCCACTGTTGACCCCCCCCCAAGCACCAAGAAGACAGAGCATCACTTGCCCCAGAGCCCCTATCTATACCTTGTGGCTAATAGCCACTGATGGACCTCTGCTCCATATGCTTATCTAATTCCCTCTTGAAGCCGTCCATGCTTGTAGCACCCACCACTTCCTGTGGCAGTGAATTCCAAGTGTCAATCACTCTTTGGGTGAAGAAGTACTTCCTTTTACATCATACAGGTGTAACTTGTTTCCAGGGGCCATGGCTCAGTGGCTCAGTGGTACAGCAGCCGTTTGGCATGCGGAAGGTCATCCCCCAGCATATCCCGTTAAAAGAATCAGTGAAGAGGTGATGGGAAAGCCCCTGCCGGTCTTATAGTCCAACTGTTGCAGCCATACAGTACGACTGGGAATACCGTTGCTTTGACCATATGGACTTTTGTTGGCAGGGTGATGTCTCTACTATTTATTATGCTGTCTAGGTTTGCCATCGCTTCCCTCCCAAGGAGCAGGCGTCTTTTGATTTCATGGCTGCTGTCACAGTCTGCAGTGATCTTGGAGCTGCTGACAGACCAAGCACTTAATAATCTGTTCTGGTACATTTAGAGCCAGTTTGGTGTTGTGGTTAAGTGCACGGACTCTAATCTGGGAGAACGGGGTTTGATTCCCCACTCCTCCACTTGCACCTGCTGATGTGACCTTGGGTTAGTCACAAGCTCTGGCACAGCTGTCCTTGAAAAAGAGCAGTTTGTGTCAGAGTTCTCTCAGCCCCACACACCTCACAGGGTGTCTGCTGTGGGGAGGGGAAGAGAAAGGAGTTTGTAAGCCGCTCTGAGCCTTCAAGTGAAGGGTGGGGTATAAATCCAATCTCTTCTTCTTCTTCTTCCTGGTATCAGAGTCAGATGGATGTGTCATTTCCTGGATTCTCCTGCCCCCACCCCCTTTGAAGACTGACATAAACTGTCTTCATTCTGTGTGGACAGAATGCTGGACTTGATAGGCCTTTGGTCTGATCCAGCATGGCTGTTCTTATATTTGGTGTCAGTCCTTCAGGGCTTCTCCAAAGATATTGGATTTATACCCCACCCTTCACGACCTGGAGGATTCTCAGAGCGGCTTACAATCTCGTCTCCCTTCCCCTCCCCTGTGAGATAGGTGGGGTTGAGAGAGCTCTGAGAGAACTGCTCGCGAGAGAACAGCTCTGAGAGAACTTGCGACTGACCCAAGGTCACACCAGCAGCTGCATGTGGAGGAGTGGGGGAATCAAACCCAGTTCTCCCAGATTAG